GGTAATGTTCTGCTTTAGAGGTTAAGGCAAACGGAATGCCCTATCTCCTGCAGACTCTACTCTGCAAGGACACTCACAATGTATGGACAATGACATGGCCAGGGTACTAGAAACTGCTGCAGACACACAGACGAGATGATCAGATGGTAACATGACTTGTGTGGTTAGAAGCACAATCAACAGTTTCCAGCTCTGTCCTGCCCAACAGTCCATGATGAAACAAGCTACGTGAGCACCCCAAGGGCCCAGATTTGTGGTTGCTAATGAATTACTAACTAAAAATAATCATTTCCTTGGAGAAATGGCTGATTTGGGACTGATGGCAGATCTGGGACTGAAAATGTACAAGATGATGCAGGAAATACTGTACCAGAAAGCATGGGAGGGAATGGACAAAGTTTAGGATTGTTTCACAAGAACTCTGGAGGCAACTGGGAAATAATGGCAAGCACAGATTAAATACATGATTAAAATCATTAATTCAGGGGCTGGGGATTTAGCTCAGCGGCACACCGCCTGCCTGGCAAGCATGAGGTTGTGAGTTCGATTCCCGGTACCGGAAAAAAAAAATCATTAATACATGGCTTGATGAAGCTAGGCAAAGATCAATGGCTACAACTGTAACAAGGCAGGACACCTAAGCAGTTGCCTTGGAAAAAACAAAGTGGAACTTGATAAAGATGCCGGACTAGTTTCCAACTATAGAATGCATCAGAACCACCTAGAAGCTGAGTACTTGCATTTTTCTTTTCTTTTTGGTGATACTGGGACATTCAACCCAGCCTGCAGAGAGCTCCCACTCTAGCTCCCAGTCCTTTTATATTATTGAGACAGGGTCTTATGAAGTTGCTTAATTGCCCAGGTTGGGCTCAAACTTGTGATTTTCCTGTCTCCCAAAGCTGAGATTACAGATATGCGTTACACCACTAAATGCTTAGCTAAGCTGCATTTCTAACACATTCTGAGGTGGTGGTGAACATGCTGGTCCAGGGATCTTACTTTTGAAAACAAATGCTCTAGGTTTATCAATTTACAGGAAATGCAAGGGACAAAACTGAACTATTAACATAAGATCACAAATAGCAAAATCAAGACCTCGATAGGGCAGGATAGTGACCTGGGTTCTTTTAATAGTTATACTGTAAGGGAAAAACAGAGATTACATTTAGAGACCTCAGATGTCTTTTAGAAGTATACACTAATGTACCTATAGAAAAAATGTCTAGCATTTTCTTCAAAATTATCTGGGGGAGGAAGCTGACAGATACATATGGCTAAAGCTAGACAGGTATATGGGTGGCTCATCACCCTATACCCTTTCCACTGCTATTCAAAATTCTCTATGATAAAAGCAACAGCATGCCAGGGATGTAGCTCAGCGGCACAAGTGCCTGCCTGGCAAGCCCAAGGTCTTGAGTTTGACTTCCAGTACCAAAACGATAAAATAAAAAAGTAACAGGAATGTTATTTAGTACATTAAGATCATTCAAGAATGAACAAACTGGGAAATAGGGGCAGTAGACACGCTTTAATACTGGGTTACCACATACAGCATCCCTGCCTTTTTCTCACTTGGCTAGGGCAGTGTTAGAGTTTAGCTACTCTATTTACAGTGTAAGGCAGCTATTATTTAGTGCCTATGCAAAATGCTTTGCTAACAGCATCTACTTTTCATAATATTATAAGGCACTACTTTATAGATAAGGATGCAACTTATTTTCTCTTCCCTATTCCTCTTATACAAATGCCTTCCAAAGCCATTCTGACTCTGGACTAGCAACTTCTTGCTTTGAGAGTAACGATGTTCAATCTAATGCCATCAAAGCTTTTCCTTTTCATCTCCATGACTGGCCTCCAAAACCTTTCAGCCTCATCCTTGGAAATGTTTCCCAGAGAAAGCACTTCCCTTACAAAATGCCAGCAAATACAGTAGCATCTTGGATCACAGACTTAATTCTTCCACAATTCTGGCTGTATACCAAATTTAACTGAATCAAATTTCCCCATAAGGGCCATGCTGAGCCTAACCACTAAAATGATCCAGCTCTCATCCAATTTGGTTTTCAACCAGAATCATGGAAAGAATTGTTTGTGAATGGAGGCAGCACTGTACAGAACACCAATAAATGTCCACAGTAGCTGTCTGGAAAGTAGGCATTTAGTAGACTCATGAGGTCTTTACAAAGCATTAATTATGAAGGGAAAAAGTGACTAGAGTGATCCATGAAGTACCATGGGTCTCTGGACATAATGCATCGTGTTCTTAGATCTGGTAATTTGAGCAACTTCTTTGAAGATAACAATAGGTAATGTAACAACCACTGTTAATTTTCTATCATCGTGTTTTCAAATTCTGTATCATTTTTATTGTTGTCTTTTCTCTTTAAAAGTCTCATGCTTGGGATTCCTGCCAGTAACACAGTCATCTATGTATAAGAAACCCAAACTGCTAGAACATCTACCATGTAACTGTCGTTTACTCTTTGAACATGACAAGGTTATGAAAAAGATGTAGATTTAGGCTAAAAAGCTTAAATACTGCTGGACATGAGGGCTTGTTATTCCAGCACTTGAGAAGCTGACAGACCACTGAGTTTCAGGACAACCTGGGCTGCACAGTGAGTTCAAGGGCAGCCTGAACTACATAGTGAGACGCTGTCTCAAAACAAAACACGCAACAAAAAAATACGGACCAAGGATTAAGCAATATTCTTTTAATGCTAACTTCCTGATTTTCATGAGAGTATCCTTGTTTGGTGATGGTGGTGTTAGCCTTCCACCTGTATGTTCTTATGCCCTATAGTTTAACTAGTATCACATGTTAACAACTGGAATATATTTCAATCAGTGCATTGCTAGCTGCTTTCACCATGAGCACGTAAGAGTATTTACTCAAACTAAGAGGACTATGACATCAAGTGATAAAATCTCATAGGACAGTATGTGCAGTGCATCACTGAGTGAAATGTGCCGTATATGACAACACTGTATCAGGTATATCTGACATATAATGGGACAATGTGCTAAGGTTTACATAAAAATACCACAACACTTAGTAACACTCTATAAAGGACCTGGGCATCCAACTGGTATGTGAGGGAAGGTGTCTTAGCATCAAACCTCTCTGGACACCAAGAGGCAATGGGACATACTGTTTTAGGGATATAAAAATAGTATTTCCAACTTACTTTCACACAACTCAGGGAGAAAATCAGAAATAATAGCTCTTTGTGCTATACCTGCCAATTCTTCTCCAAGCATGAAACAGTGACAAATTCAGCTAACAAGTCTATTTTTTAGAAGACTTTTAACCTTAACTTCTCTAGAGCTTTTAGCAAGAGAACTATCTGAAAGAGGTAATGAATTTTTTTTTTTCTGTTTTTTTTTCTGGTACCGGGAATCTAACTCACAACCTCATGCTTGCCAGGAAGGCGCTGTGCCCCTGAGATAAATCCCCAGCCCCGAGGTAATGAATTTTAAAGCTTTAAAGAAAGAATGCTGCCTCAGTTTAAAGATCCACATTACACTACATAGATTAGGAATATCCCTAAACAGAAGTAAATATATGGTTGTAACTAACATGCACTTAATTACATGTAAGAGCCTGGTGCTGTGAGAGCCAGGCATATGAAAGTTATTTGGGACTCTTACAGCAAATTGATACATGGTACCATAGTTCATGAACTTAATTCTTTCCATGATTCTGCACGCCATCAAACCACAAGCATACTGCAAGCACAGTATATGCTTGCAATTCGGTTGCAAGAAGAACCATGGAATGATTTCTGTGCCCAGAACTGTGAAAACAAAGTTGGTGAAATGAGGTACCACCGCATATCCTAGTCAAGATGTAGTCACTGCCTAAAAAAAGTTACAAATTACAATGTAAATTGATAATTACATTAGGTACTGTACTGTTAACAGTAGTTTTATAATTCATGTTGTTGCCAGGTGTGGCAGCGCTTGTCTGTAATCCCAGCCCTTGGAGGCTGAGACAAAGTATGGCCTTGAGTTTGAGGCCACCTTGGCCTACACAGCAGAAACCCTGTCTGAAAAGGAAAGGGGAAAGAGGCATTCATGCCATTACATGAGCCAGACATTAGGAACTCTTGATTCCCAAGATTGATTCTATAGTGTAACAGCCACTTAAAACAGAACTCTGTAATAGCATTTACTATGTAAGAACAAACTATTATTCACAGAATGAAGTGCTGTTAAAAACAACATATACACAGGTCCACGACAATCTAAGCAAACACTGTTAACAGTGGCTACCTTACTTAAGTAAATTCTGAAGGATAGGGGTGCAGTGCTAGGGATTTAACCCTGGGGGCATACTAGGTAAGTGTTCCAACCACTGAACTACCTCCAGGCTTAGAACCTTTTCATAAGCAATTAAATTAGAACTTAAGAAAATGAAATTCTCATGAGGCTCTGCCACCACGCATTTGAAACTGCATGCAACCATGGAGACTCTCAAGATGGAAAGCAGGGCTGACATAAGGTTGAGTAATGAAAATGTGAAGGTACTGAAGTGGAAACAGCTGAAGTTTAAAGTTCCCTAAATCCAGAACTAAGGAAGTTGGGGCATAAAAAATGATTAAAGTTTCCTAGCCTCTTTGCGCTGGAAAAAAAAGGAACCACTACCAGGTAAAAATAAGATACATGCTACAGAAAAGAAAGCAAGTTTATAAAAAATTAGTGTATTTAATCTTTCATAGTAGTAGCTAGTACTCTTCTAAGTATTTTTATAAAACTTTTAATCTTTGTAAGCCTGTTTATCATTTCCAAGGATGAAAATGAAGCACAAGGGTTAATGATTCACCCAAAATAAACCAACTGCTACACTGATGATCCTGAAATCTTGTTTCTGTATAACTGAAACAAGATTCCTTTCTCACACGTGACAGAAACGGCCAATCAGTGGCAACCTCTATGCAAACACCCACTGGCTAAGAACTTGGTGCTAAGTGGAAATACACAATAAATAAAAACAAGCCTTTCCCTCAGTAAGCATTTTATTGAAGTAAATGCATAAAACTGGTTAACAAAGTGGAAAAAAGAAGATCCAAGATGAAAGGTGGTAACACAGGAATGGGAACATAAAAGCTGGAGTAGGCAGGACTCAAACTGGCCATAAAGGTACTATGGCAAATCAACAAAACACTGCTGAGTGAAAGAAAGGGGATTCCCAATGCTCCTCACCTTCCTTGTGCTATAGGATCAATACTGCACCCAGCCACTGAACAAAAATGTGAGACATGTTGCTGATTCTCAGATTCTGCTCACTAGTTAGCAAGGAACTAAGAATTTTAAATTAGTCAACTGTTTCCTGAAGTATGCCAATGTTATACACAGTGATTCAGTGCATCCAGTGACTTGGGTCTATAGATATGGAATAGAATTTTCAATAATTGGTCTTTACCATTACTAAAAAAAATTTATGAATGCAAATATGTACCTAAACAATTACCCACTTACTGAGGCAGCTAATAATATAGTTATATGCCTCTTACCAAATGATGTCATAGTTACAGAAAGTCCTAATGAGATGTAGTTTTTTTAGAAAGCCAAATTTCACTGTAATGTCACCCCTTGCCTCCTTTTAAAAGGCTGTGGCTCAAGAAGTGTTTATGTGTCTTTCTCTGAAAACAAAAAAACCGGTCAAAGCCAATTCTAAGAGTTATCACTTCTAATCTTTGAACAGGCAAAATAACTAAAATTACAGACTCCATTTTCTTCTTCTTTTATATTCTCATTTATCTTGAAAAAATAAAACCATTTCTTATAAACAGCTACATAAACAAAGCATCAAAGAAAAGATAACGGAAGCAGCATTAATTTTATGGTGCACTACAGTCCCAAAGTTGATTTTAAAAGAGTTTTTTAAAACAGAAAACCTAGGTAGGAATTTCTTAAAAACCAGGTTTCCTCATTACCAAGTATTTCCAACTACTATGACTGGCATCTACTTAGATCCTTGGCTCACTTTTTTCAATCAATCTGATTAGGATTGTCTTCTGATTATGCAGTCCCTACATATCAAGCTAAAATATGTAGGAAATATCACACCTTATTGACAACCCAACTCTCAGTACTTTACATAAAAGACAGGTCCAGAAATTATTAAACCTGAGCCAATTCACCTAAACCTTGACTTCAGACTAAAGCTAGTTTTTAAAAATGAAACTATTTAGAAGTATCCAAAGGGAAAGTTACCAATTCTTGAACTGCAATCTGTTTAGGAATGGATGTATGGATTATTTCTAAAAATTTGTAATATAATTTGATTTTCACAGTATTCATTATACTTCATTTATAACAAAGTACAAATACTCATTTCATTGTTTTTTAAGCCAACCACATGGAAGTATAAAATTTACAAGTATGAGCCAAGAAATTATCACTAACTACTATGGAAACTGATTACTGGAAGTTATTTTACTTTAATTACCAACTGACTTACCACAAGATCTGTTAAGTGCCTGTTAAGTATAATGATCTTTCAGCAGAAAATGCATTATGTGCTTTTCCACTTTGAATACACTAAATTTCTAAGAACGGCTACTTCCATTTTTACATAACAAGTGTTAAAGACCACCAAACCCTACTCTTAACAACACTAGTCACATCGATCACTTCCAGAACATGGGATTACCAGCTAAACAAGATCCCAAGCACTAGGAGCTCTTTTTAAAGAGTTCAAACTTTAAGCTTGAAAACAGTTTCATTATTTAAAATCAATTTAGGAAAAATTATGTAACAGATCAACTACAAAATACCTTTTATTTTTAACTGAACTTGTTAGCGGGGCAGATAAAGACTTTGGCAAATTTGATTAACAGCACAAAATAACATTATCCAAACTGAATAATTTATTGCTGGTCTGAGGCTTGCCTTGTTTTACACTTAAGTAGAATTTACACTGTTTCCACAAATACCAGATATCAACATTTAAAGAATTTAACAGTGACCTATTCAATAAGGCAATCATCTTGGTAGCAAACTTTTATTTAAAACTTACATAACTCAAGCTTTATAAAAAGCTAACATAATTGAAAATTGGGTTCTCCCTCTAAAGCTTAAGTATCCAAAGCTTGAAACGGTTAATTTAAAAATAAGCAAACAAAACAAAAAACAAACCCTGCAGCAGATCCTGCTGAAATACTTAAAAAAAATCTAAATGAGCTTAATCTTTACAAAAGTTATTTTAGCTCAAAAGCTATAAAATCAAAGTTATCTTAATTCTACAAAGAAGGGAGAGGGCCTTTAACTTCATGCCACCATTTTAGAACCTCATTTTTTTCATCAAATTTGGCCACAAATCAAATTTCTGTATGCCCCTGTTCTCAGGAGATCCTCTTGCAGAAGAGGCCAAGTACAAACATGGAAGAGTAACTGCCTAAGCAAGTAGGAAAGTGTTCCGTAATAGTGTGCAAAGAACAGAGTTCTGGATTAATCTCTGGAACTTGATCTGGACCTTGACCTTGAACGAGATCTAGAACGGGATCTCGAAGCTCTTTTTGGTGGAGGGGATACAGACCGAGCCTTTGAGGGTGGTACAGGTACAGGTGAATGGGAATGAGACTGGCTCCTTGATCTGGATTTTGACTTTATATCACCTTTTCCATTTTCTTTGGGGGACCGAGATCGTGACCGAGACCTGCTTCGGGATTTCTCATACTCATCCTTAGATCTGCTTCGAGAGTGTGAATGGGAGCCCCGATCAGACTTGGGCTTAGATTTGCTCTTTGATCTAGATTTCCTGCCTTTTGATCGAGAACGCGATCGACCTTTGCTCCGTGACCTGGATCTGGACAAAAAAGCCAGATTTGTTTCAGTATCTTGTCAACATACACGTAACCTCCACAAGCAAGTGGAGTTGTATTCAGAAAAGAAGCCCCAACACCACATTATTTACCGGGAGCGACTTTTTGAGACACTTCGAGATCTACTGCGGCTGCTCCTGCGGCTCCTACTCCGTGACCTTCTTCTAGAGCGTGACCTATGATGAAACACAATGAAGTATTGGCGTCAAACAACTGACAGTTACTCAAATACTCTCTTCCTCCCCTCCCTGTATCTTTCAAGTTACCTAGATCTGCTTCCAGAATATGATCGCCTATGGCTTGCTCGTGGTTTATCTTCAATAAGCCTAATATTTCTGCCATTTATTTCGGTACCATCTAGCTTATCCAAAGCCCGCTTCATGTCAGAGTAGGAGCGAAATTCAATTACACCCTCATTTGTGCGTTCTTTGTGAGCATCTGCATAGGTGACTTCACCTGCTTGCCGCATGAAATCCTAAAACAACAAGACCAGTCAGACCCAGAAATCTAAAAGAGACCTACATACTGGTTTTCTTTTACAGGAAAAAAATTAAAACGCCTACCTTTGAAGCATTAATTGTATTTTATCTCAAATTATAGCACCCACCTTTAAATCTTGCCAACTGCAACGACTAGAAAGATTTTCTACAATAAGTCTGTATTCTGTACGAACAGGTGGTCCATATTTGTCTCTGCCAGAGGTTCTCCGACTGCTGTATCCACCTCCACCACCTTTATCACATGAAGGGAACAATCAGCTGCTTTGTAATGACAGGGGTGCATAATGTTTCTGAAAGTTAGTACAAACATATCAACTTTCATTTACTGGAGTAGGACTTTGCTATTATACTGCTAAACCTTTGACACATTTGTGATTTGCCATAAATTAAATTAAGGGCAAGTCAAACAGACTAAATCCAACTAAACCTCTCCTACAATCTGTTAGAGAGTGACTGCTCCTTTATTCAATTTACCTCGCTAAGTTTTATTTTACAGAACATTGTAAAATATAAAACTTAACTGATTACATGCATTTCTACATTTTACAAAAATGTTTACTAGTTACACTAAGTACTTACATCACAGTGTGAGGTTTTTGGTGGTGGTTTGGCCACAAAACACGCAAGGTAACAGTCACCTAGTTCAGATTAACCAGTTTTGTCTAACCCTTGGAATCCTCACCATCACCCTGCGTCTAATGGCAAAAGGCTGCTGTCGTCATGGCTTCCGGTAAGGTCAGCCAAAGGGTCATAGGGCAAGGGTCACACAATGTATGGAAAAGCCAAGGCCAATCAGGAAAGGCAGTCATCTTAGCCTCAGTGGACACAGCCTCAGCCCCATTGGTCACTTTCAAATTGAAACATCAAGGACTTGTTAAAAAGTTTGAATTCAACATGCAACAATTTCAACATCAAACATTTAACATAGCCAAAATCCCCCCAACCTCCTCCCAATAACATGCCCCCAACTAGTTCAAATACAGCATAAAGCTCTTTTAGATTTACTTTGTGGTACAATACCACATTACTTTAAAATAATACTTTTGGCCCCCACTAACTTCAGTAATTCTAAGACTGGTCCTTCAAGCTCCTCCCCTCCCCACTCCCCCTCCCCTCCCCCACCTCCACCCCAGCCTGCTCACAAACTTCTACATATCTAGCTAACGCACTGTCAGGTAAGCAAGGGCAATACAAATACAGCCATCCCTCGCTTCCAAAGTAGGTAGAACCCACGACAGTGCCAAAGAGGGCCCAGCAGAAACCACCCCTTCCCAACCTGACAAAAACCCAGACCCAATCCCCGCGCTCCGGTGTCCCATAGCCATCCCTGGCAGGCGTGAAGGCAGCGGGGCCCGGAGATATCCGGGTAAAACAACGCCCGGCCCCCCTCCCGCCTGCCCGGGCTGGGAGGCCCCACCCCGCCCACCCTATGCCTGCGCCCCTCCCGCAGGTCCCAAGGACGCGGAGCGCGCGGGGGTGGGACTCACTGCGGCTTCCGTAGCTGTAGCCGTCGCGATCGCGACGTGGGCCCCGGGCGTGCTCCACGATCACGCGCTCGCCGCAGAGCTCCTTGCCGTTCAGCTCATAAACGGCATCGTCGGCGTCGCGGGAGTCCTCGAACTCCACGAAGCCGTACCTGGGGGCGGTACGCGGGCCAGACACCGGCGGGGGCGCGTTAGCAGGCGGCGCGTGCGTGCGCGCACCCGCAACCCCGCTCGCACCCGCGGAACCAGGTCGCCGCCATTTTGGAGGCCCTGCCACGCGGCGCCGCGGCCTTGGCTGCCTTCTATTTCGAACAGCCCCTCCGCCACCAGTCCCGGGGGGCTTGGAGCGGACGCAGGCGCCCAGGCCCGACTCACCCATTTTTGAGGTCTACTTCGAGGAGGCGGCCGTAGCCGCTGAAAAAGCGCTGGATGTCCTTTTCCCGGACATTGTAGCTCAGGCGGCCTATGTAGACGCGCGGCATGTCCGTGGCGAACGGGGTCCCGAAGGCTGGTTCTCCAACGGCGGGCCGCAAGACGGGGCCGCGGTGCGGGTGCGGGGACGGCGAAAACCCGAACTCGCGCCTCACACCGCAGCGGCGGCCGAGTCCAGCCACACAATGGTGCGCGCGCGCGCCAGGGCTACGCTATATGGGCGGCCGGAGGGCGGGGCCCGTCGCGTGACGTCAGTACGCCGTACGTGCCCCCCACGTCGCGCGCCTGGTTGTAGAGTGGCTGGTGAGTCTCTGGCGCGCGGGGGTTGACGGAGAGCGACTCGCTTCCAGAATTTTCTCTAACACGCCCCACCATCTTCGTAAACAAAGTACAGTATCCCGTACTCCCGGCGTGGGCTCGCTTTTTGAATAAACTGATCTCGCGTGATCTCTCCGACTAGAGTTTGGGAGGCAGCCTAAAACATTCTCTGTTTCTCATTGGTTCTCGGGATTGGCATAATAGACCACCGTGGTTTCTGATTGGTACGTTAAAGCGAGGCTGTGACTCTGCTCCGCCTAGTGATTCTTGCCCATTTTGGTGGGGATGGTGCTGTCTAACAGAGCAGGTTCGCCCGGTTCATACAACCCTAGAATTATGCTCCCGGGTCGTGGTGATTCTGCCAGGGTCGTGCTGCGACTGCACAGTCCTGCCGGCTTCAGTCTCTCTGGGTCTCTCAGCCTTCACCGCCTTTCTGCTTGTCCTCCACTCTCCACGGGTCTTGCTTGGAGCGCTGACATTTGTAGGTTGGAGTGCGCAGGGCGCTCGCTGAGGTTGCTCACAAAGGTAGTATGGCTATGGCCCTTGGCACCAAAGGCAGGTGCCCAAAAAGTTTGCGCAAGACCTGGCAGCCCTCCCACAGCAATAGGCTCTTTCTCTCTCATATGGAGACTCCTTTCTGCCAAGTACTATCCTTGCCCCCATTGATTTGGAAGGTATTTACGAGGTACAAATACACACTGTGAGCTTATCAATAGATGCCATTTAAAGCTGCAGAGCTAGATAACCTCAGTCAGTGAAGAGCAAAGACCCGTGACCATGACCTCCAGTACTCTGAAATGTAAGTACAGGAAAGAGAACTAGAAGTGAATGATTAAAGAGGTAGAGAAAAGATTAAGAGAGTATGATGTCACACAAGCTAAGACTGAAAAGACTATCGCTGAGATAATACGGGCTCTTCAGGTATTTCTTTCTTTCTTTCTTTCTTT